TATTCTATTCTATTCTATTCTATTCTATTCTATTCTATTCTATTCTACTCTGTTCTACTCTACTCTACTCTACTCTACTCTATTTGCTATATTCTCTTCTCTTCTATTCCTTCATTCCAATATCTATTCTGTTCTATGCTATGCGATAAGCAGCCCTACAAATTACATAATTTTAAAAAGTGGGTTAGAAAAGCAGAGGTTAGACACACATCCCTTTTTCACACCTGTGCTGCCTTTCAGTGCCAAGATTTGCCAAGTTTTATAATTAATGACAGCCTAAGAGGGAAGAATGGGGATATATATCATAGACGGTGACCTATCTTAAAATTATTTTGAGATGAGTGGCAGGCTGTCATTCGGCTGAAAAAGGCCCCACCTTCTTCCTTAAATGGAGGATGAGCAATCTTTTAAATGCAGGAAGGATCAACTTGTGACATTCTTTGCCTTTGAATGTTGGATGTTTACACCCGGCCTTATTTTGATAGTCGACTAACCGACGAAATAAATCCATCTGGGATTGCTCGGCTCCGCCCTGGATCTCCAAGCTTAAACTCATTACTCAATGGCCAAAATATTTGTGGAAGTGGCCCATCACAGACCATGCGGTGGAGGCCCTTCCCAAATAATAATAGCTGTGGGATAATGGTCTGGCTGCCACTGAGAGTCATTAATCAGAATAGAGCTGGGAGGGACCTTGGAGGTCTTCTAGTCCAACCCCTGGCTCAAGCAGGAGACCCTATACCATGTTAGACAAATGGCTGTCTAGCCTCTTCTTAAAAACCTCCAGGGTTGAAGAACCCATAATTTCTGGTGGCAAACTGTTCCATTGGTTAATTGTTCTCACTGTGAGGAAGTTTCTCCTTAGTTCTAGGTTGCTTCTCTCCTTGATTGGTTTTCATCCGTTGCTTCTTGTCCTGTCCTTCTGGTGCCTTGGAGAATAGCTTGACCCCCTCTTCTTTGTGGCAGCCCCTCAAATTCTGGAATGCGGCCATCATGTCCCCGTATTTCTTCTTTTCTTTACACTAGCCCACACTCAAACCCACAGCCGTTCTTCATATGTTTTAGTCTCCAGGCCTTCAATCATCTTAATTGCTCTTCTCTGTACTTTTTCCAAAGTCTCAACATCTTTTTTTTGATATGTGGGGACCAAAACTGGAGGTAGTAATCCAGGAGTGGCCTTACTACGGCTTTATAAAGCAGTGGTAATACTTCACGTGATTTTGATTCTGTGCCTCTGTTTATGCAACCAAGGGTTGTATTCACTTTTTTTGGCTGCTGCAGCACACAGCTGGCTCCTGTTTAAGTCATCGTCCATTAGGACTCCATCTTGCAGTTACTGTTTTCAAGCTAGGTTTCGCCTAATCTGTACTTGTACCTTTGCCTGCCAAGAGTCACAGAAAACCAATTTGCCAGAAAACAACAGAGACCCAAAGATGCTGAATTCACATGACATAATAAATCTGGAGACAACATTAACTCTTCATTTAATTTATCTAAGACACAACACCCCACCCAGGGGTGGGATTCTACCAGTTTGCACCTATTTGCTAGAACCGGTTGTTAACATTCTAAGCAGTTCGGACAATCGGTTGTTAGAAGAAATTACTGGGCTAATCCTGTAAGGAAGGCAGGAAGGAAACATTCTGGTGTTGCTTACAGAAACTGCCTCTCCGTTAACCCTTATTACATTCTTGGCAGGACTAGAGTTCCTGTCTCTGGAACTTCTCTGGAGTTTTTTTCCCCTCCTTTGCTGGTACTTTGCTTGTGTGGAGTGACCATTCAAAGTTACAATGGCCCTGAAAAAAGTGACTTATGACCATTTTCACACTTACAACTGTTGCAGCATCCCCACAGTCATGAGAGGCCAGGAGAGGAGATGCGTGCCTCGATGTGAGTGATATTGAGTTGGCCACGCCCAGCCAATAACATGACCAAGCCACGTCCACCCAGTCACATGTCCACCAAGCCACGCACACCAAGTAAGCCACGCCCACAGAACCGGTTGTTAAAAAATTGAATCCCACCCTTGACCCCACCCCAGAATATCCATCCAGATTAATCCTGTCCAACTGCCAAGGCAAGTTCTGGAGTTTTGCCAGACCGTAAAGTCATCACTGGATTTCAGGGTTCCCTCATCACAGGTCCCACGGTGACAGGATCAGTTCAAAACTCCGGTGCCCCAACAGCTGTGGGGAGGCTGGTCTGCTCGATTCTCTGCCCCTCACACAACCCCCTTGGCTCACCACTGACCCCTTTGCTCAGCCTGTTCATCCGACGGAGCCATAAGCTACTCTGACTTTGCTAGGAAATCACAAAATCATTATTATCCTTTAGCGACCCTTGCATAGTGGAATCTGGGCAACTGAATGGAGCTAGTGGAGTGTTTACTGGCTGGATGCCCTTCCTCTCGCCAATACGGAGTTTTTTGTTCAGCAGATATATTCTCATCCTGCCCAGAGAAATATCTGCCTCTACCTGGGATTGAACTCACAGCCTCCTGATTGTAAGGCGAGAGCTCCACCTCACACTAGTCTAGGAAATCACAAAATACCTAGGAAAAATAATATCCATAATCCAATTAGCCTGCTATGTGATGCTGTGTGAATGGTTCCTCTGGGTCAGCCTAAATCCACAATTCTTATTTTTGTTCCAGCTCAGCTTCACTTTTGTTTTGAACTGAAAACCATCCATGAAAAGAATTTAAATCTGTTTTTGTTTTTGTTTTACAGCTGAGCCTGCTGACCTCAAACAAAGGAGCTTTTGTCCACTAAATATTAAATATACATAATCAGATTTTGGCATCTGATCTCACCTCCTGCTGAGCCTTTGGAGGAAGTTCACAGTTCTGGATCTCTTTGTACACCTTTGGCTTGCCGGTGGTCTTTGCACACTTGGTTTTCATCAACTCCATCGTCAGATAATATTTCGCCCCTGCGACTACCTGGATTTAAATGAAGAAAAAAAATACAGTAATGTGACCTTAAAGTGAATTACAGGTGGGAAAAACCCAGAACAGGTTCAGCTACATAGATTGCAAACCAGGAAGTAGTTTATCACTAGAGAGGAGCAATAACAGAACAGCAACAGTGTCAGTCTGTGCTCCATTCAAAATCCAAGAAAGAAATACTTAGACTCCATAGATTAGAGGAAAGATATCTTTTACTGAAATTCGAAGTGGAAGCTACAGGTAAAATTCTGAATCTAAGGAATTAGGCGCGCAGATCACATATACAAAGGGATGGAATTGTTCCCACCCCGCAAAGTTCAAAAGATTCTTCCAATTAAAAGTTCTGAATATGACCATGTGGGCATCTTCAGGTGGTGATGAGGCCTCTGTCCGTTGACCTTGACATATTTTGATAAAGATTCGCAGTTGCGCAAAGGAAGAAGGCTAAGCAAGGAAATAGAAACTTAAGAGCAGGAATTTATACTCCCCCCCACTCCTCTTTTATACAACACAAGAATGTAACACCTCCAGCTCTCTTCCCAGATGCAACCCTTCCCCTCCCCCCCTTTACTCATGACAGCCGAAAGATGCAAAGCAGTAGAAAAGTAGAAAAGATCTTGAAGGCTGACAAACAGAATCACAGAGTTGGAAAGGACCTTGTAGGTCATCTAGTCCAACCCGCCCACCCAAGAAAATCAATGCAAGAGGAAATATTTCTATATCAGATACGAACAGCAGAAATCATGTCCTTTGGGGTCACGATAACAGCCCCCCCCCCAACACCCCCTAAGCTTCCTCCAGCACCCCCAAACCTTTCTACTGTTTCCAGAGGAATTCCAAATCCTTTGGCTACTCTGAGGACCCAATGAGGCTGCCCCCCCAAAAAACCCTCCCACCTCCAGACACATACACTGTCCCCCCCAATTCTCTTCCATTGTACCTACAGCCCCCCAATTCCCTCCCGTTGTACCTACAGCCCCACAATTCCCTTCCATTGTACCTACAGCCCAATTCCCTTCCATTGTACCTACAGGCCAATTCCCTTCCATTGTACCTACAGCCCAATTCTCTTCCATTGTACCTACAGCCCCCAATTCCCTTACGTTGTACCTAGAGCACCCCCCCCAGGGCTTTGGCTATTCCAAAAAGACCCCAACTAGGCTGTTTCACCCTCCCCAAGACACACACCTGGGACTGCGCCTCCACAATTCGCAACTGCTTGTAATAGTAGGCGTTTGCGCTGAGCGCGTTGTATTCTTGCACGGCGAACTCGGCGGCTTCCTGCACGTCCGGATCCGTGACGGATCTCGGGGAAAGGCCCCCGGGGATCATCGTCGCCGAGGGCAGCAACAGGAGGGCGCAGAGCAGGCGGAGGGGAGCCACGACGGGCAGCTGGGAGTGCACCATGGGGCTGGCAGACAAGGCAGAGCGAGCAACCCCAACTGCCGCTCCGGAGAGAAGTTCTCGCAGGTGCCTCAGATCTGCTCGAGCTGGAGGTGGGAGCGGGACCCACCCACCTGCGCGGAGGCCACGCCCCTTCCCGACAAGCCCCGCCCCGCGGCCGAGCCTTCTCCTCTGCCCCCGCGCGGAGTTTGATCCATTGGTCGATCGGAATAGTGTGTGGGAAGGGACCTTGGAGGTCTTCTAGTCCAGCCCCCCTGCTCAAACAGGAGACCCTGCTCTCCTCCTCCTCCTCCAAATAATGGAGTTGGAAGGGACCTTGGGAGTTATACCACCTATTCTGTACTTATGTATTTATACTAGAATGAGCTGGACGGGACTTTGGAGGTCTTCTAGTCCAACCCCCCTAAAGGAGACCCTATACCATTTCAGACAAGTGCCTGTCCAGACTCTTCTTGAAAACCACCAGTGATGGAACACCCACTTCTGGTGGAAAGCTGTTCCAATGGTTAATTGTCCTCACTGTTGGGAAGTGTCTCCTTAGTTCCAGGTTGCTTCCATTAGCAAACAATAACAAATGTCCACCCTAAGTTCTGAACCTTACTTTTCTCACCCATGAATTGCATTTTGTTGGTTAGGGCCCAGTGTCCATGTCTGTCTATACCCTTCTGGATCCTGAACTTATCTTCTAAATCAGGGATCTCCAACCTTGGCAGCTTTGAGCCTTGTGGACTTCAACTCCCAGAATTCCTCAGCCAGCTGGGAGTGGAAGCCCACAAGTCTCAAAGTTGCCAAGGTTGGAGACCCGTTCTAAACTATTGGCTATTTCCACCAGCTTGTTGTCTTCTGCACATTTGATGAGTTCCCTTTCTGTCTCCTCGTCCAGGTCATTTATGATCCATCCTTAACTGGAAAAGAGATTTCTTTTCCCTTTCTTTTAAACCTACACCCAATGTAAATCCATTATCTTTACTTGTCTACAAATAGGTGGCAATATAAATTCAATATCAGGTTGAGAAGGTTCTGGAAAATGAAAAAGATCTTGTGGGACTTCAGAATTCAGACTTGACAGGCACTTGGCCCACAACACATCTGACATAACAATAGTTGAGAAGAAAAAGGGTTTGGTTCATTGACATTGCAATACCTGGTGATGCACGTATTGAAGACACGCAGCAAGAAAAAAAAAATCACAAAGTATCGGGAGTTAGAAACTGAAGCTGAGCAACTTTGGAAAAAGAAATTGTGTGTTATCCCAATTGGAGCCCTTGGGGGGTTGCCTCGCTATTTGGAAATCCTGAATTTATCAGACTTAAATACCCTGATTCTACAAAAAACCACCCTCCTTGGAACAGCTTATATCCTCCGACGCTACCTGAACAGTTCCTAGGTCCTTGGTTAGGACTCGAGCTGTTGAGCTGCCAACCAGCCCCAAAGGCTGTGAATCTCCCCAAAGATTAACCAATAAATAATAATAATTAACAACAAAACAACAATAATAATGTACTTGGTTGATACCTAGGATGCTGGCAGCAACCTGTATCAAGCATTAGCACCAGTCATGGTATTTGTGATGCATTTTTGAATGTTCATTTGACTGAGTTTCATGTTTAATGAATAAAGTATAATAATAATAATAATAATAATAATAATAATAATAATAATAATAATAATAATAATAATAAT